ATTCCATGGGATGAATTAATATATATAGGACTTCCTGATTTTTTTTTTTAAAGTGCTTAGACGGTAGAAATAAATCAAGTCTGCTTCATGGAAAACCTAAACTATTTGCTTTTCTGTTCGTAGTTTTATTTGGTTACGCTACCACAGTAATTCCTAGAATATATACCTACTACGTGTCAACAGCACTCTTTGCAATTTTCGGTATCCGAATGCTTCGAGAAGGTATTGTAGTATTGTATTTCTTAGGTTAATATTTCAAAAAGCTTCAAATTGTATCCATTATTGGTAAGATCCCATTTCTTTTCATTGTTAAAAAAAAAGTTGGAAAAGGCAGTTACACCCGTTGCAAGTAGCAACAGCTGCACTTACGTATTAAAATTAAATTATTAAAGCTAGATTAATGAATTTGGAAGTACTCAACCTGATATTATTGAACCTCGGCGGCTGATTTACTTTGGTTGGGCTGCTGCAAGGAGGAAGAAAACCTAGAAGGGGACAAGAGCAAATGACCTTTGCATTGAACTGTGCTTTAAATGAGCAATTGATTTCTACCTGCACTAATCCGAGAGACGAACCTGATTTGCGGCGTTAATTGTTGCGTTTCCAAATGGTTGCAGATTCCAAAACGCCGCCCTGCCAGCAAACCACAAGTGGGAGGAGCTCCGTCCTGACAGCACGGCGTCACGTGACACACGTGGTTGGCTGGCTGGCTCGCTCGTCTCCTCCTCAGCCCCGTTCGCTCCGACGGGACAGCCGAACTTGACGGTTTCTATTCTCTGACGCCAATCCCAGAGCGAGCGGAGAGGTTCCCACCCAATCAGGCCAGGGAATCCGCGGCGGAGGCGGGACGTCGGGCTGAGTGACAAGGCAAAGGCGGCTGGGTTGCGTTGCGCGACCGGGCCCGGAGGAAGCGGCCATGGCGGCGGGGCGGGTTCCACTCACTTCCGCTTGTGGAGGCCGTCCTTCCCGGGAGTGAGAGCGGGAGACGGCCGGGCTCGGGGACAGGCATGGCGGGGGTCCTGCGGCTCTGGCCGCTGCTGCTGGTGCTGGCCGCGGCCTCCGCGGTCCCCGAGCAAGACGTCGGCCGCGAGCGAGACTTGCCGCCTCACCAGGAGCAGCAGAAGCCGGCGCCGCACCAGCAGCCGGCGGTACAAGGGCCGGATCACCTCCGGGCTGAGGTGAGCTGAGGGAGGCGGAGGCGAGGCCTCGGGAGCCGGCTTGATTACGGGGGGGCTGCTGGGACTACTCCCGCCCGCGAAGAGGGAAGGAAGGTGCGGAAGGCCCCGGCTTCTCCTCCGTGGCTTCTCCTTCCCTGCTCCGACGGTGGATGGCGGCCCTTCGAGTCTCCGCCCTGGGGCAGAAGGTGGCCGGGTGAAAGGAGGGATGGGAGAAGCCTTTGGGGATTGGAGGTCGCGACAGGTTTGATTCATCCAACCATGTATGTATACATACATACATACATACATACATACATACATACATACATACATACATACATACATACATACATACATGTGTATATATGTATGTACACACACACACACACACACACACACACACACACACACGGGACTCCTCAACTTACGACCACAATGGAGCCCAAAATTAATGGTGCTGTAGGAAGTTAGGACCCTCCCTCTGCTAGAAAAATGAAATATTTTAGGAAATATTAAAAAGAACAGAATATTTCCCCTAAAAGAGAGGCAGAAATATACATACATACATACATACATACATGTGTATATGTGTATGTACACACACACACACACACACACACACACACACACACACGGGACTCCTCAACTTACGACCACAATGGAGCCCAAAATTAATGGTGCTGTAGGAAGTTAGGACCCTCCCTCTGCTAGAAAAATGAAATATTTTAGGAAATATTAAAAAGAACAGAATATTTCCCCTAAAAGAGAGGCAGAAATATACATACATACATACATACATACATGTGTATATGTGTATGTACACACACACACACACACACACACACACGGGAGTCCTCAACTTACGACCACAATGGACCACCAAAATTAATGGTGCTGTAGGAGGTTAGGACCCTCCCCTCTGCTAGAAGAATGAAATATTTTAGGAAATATTAAAAAGAACAGAATATTTCCCCTAAAAGAGAGGCAGAAATATACATAGATGCATGCATGCATGCATACATACATACATACATACATACATACATACATACATACATACATACACAGACACACACATAAAAAGGGTGCCTCAGTGTCTAAGCTTGTCAATCAGAAAGGTCTGCCGTTGTGGCGGTTCGAATCCCTAGCGCCGCGTAATGGAGTGA